GCATCATCACTAGAAAGCTTTAAACAACTCCTGGAATTAAATGTGCAAAGATTGAGTGTAACAATTCTTTTGGTGTGATACAGCTAGCTGCTGCCGCGCCGCGTGCCTGCGAAGCTGGTGTGTTATGCTGAAGGGCAGTTATACCGGCTATACTGATACAGATACTCTGTGGATATCCCTTTTGGTCGCATTGGATCTGCTTGGATGGTTACAGTGTCTTAAACTAACATTTTTACATCTTCCGACCGTGATTTCCCCATTGGGATACAGTAATTTGTGGTTCTGACTGTATGTTATTCTGTATGAATCATTGAATGTAAATTGGTACAATAAAGATTGCCAAATCACTAGTCTAAGAGCTTCCATACAATAACATTGCTGTGAAATGGTCTGTACTTTATGTGACAATTTTGTGGGCAATGTTCCGTGGAGCCAATAGAAATGCCACAGAAATACCCTGCTACAATGTAATAGTGATTGTTACTGGTTGATGTGTTTCCTATTGACCAATGACAAGCCACGATGGTTGCTGTTTCCATAGTGGTTTCCTAGGAAACCAAGACATTTCCTGCTATTACATAGACACTGCAATCTAAATGGCTTAGAGGAAACCACATTATTAACACATGGGTGGGCAAGGAAGGGCCTAACTCCCGCATACCCCAAAACACCCTTGCCTTGGAGTGTATGGTTGGAATCTTCTCTTTGGTTAGGCAACATTGGACTTGAAAAAACAGGTGGGATTTCATGTTCGTATTGCTTGATGAAATACTATTTTTGTAGGTGTTTGTACTGATTTCCTCGCTAGTTTTGCTAGCCTAGCCTCCGTAGCAGGCTTATAGAACTGGGGTTTTAGTGGTCTTCAGCTGTTTTCTGATTAGCCCAGTTCTAAAAAAAACGGGGGTAATTCAGCCAGGTCGGCTATGTTGTCTATATGCAATCAGAAAATAGCACATAAAAGCTCCCTAAGACCCTGAAGACCCCAAAACCCCCCAGTTTTTGGCATGCTATAGCAGCTATTGCTAGGGACATATGTTTTGCAAACATGCAGTCTTTGGTGGTGATATTCAATGACCATTTATGTCAAGTATCTTAAATAATAGGTACTAGAGGCTTGCGTAACCAATAATTACAGTAAGGTATGTAGGTGAGCGCCACACGAAAGACCACACACTTAAGACTGGTTTCCTGTACAGGTGTAATCTACATTATCATAACAATAGAAAACTAGCTTATCTGATTTCAGTGGCTAAACATGCCATACAGGTAGACTAGACAGAGGGAAAGTGGTGTATAAGGCCACAGCACGTAAATTTTATGGATGACATCCTCTGCAGACTCAAAATCTAATGCGAGAGGGCAAAAAATAACAAGGCGGGCCGAAAAACACAAGGTTCCTACAATTTAAAATTTTGACTTAATCATTGTACAAATGGTTTTCATTCAGTGGGAACATCAGACACATACATGTGCTCACAGCCAGCATCACATATCACTGCATCAACCTAAGAAACAAAACATTAAATCAGAGCCTTTTCTTGTCTCCTCTCTACATATTTATCTGCCATCCACCTTCTGGCATAGCAACAGACATCTTTGCCCATTTCAGCAAGTTGACCACTGTCAGAAGGCAACAAAATTTCTTGTTTGTATTTTCAAAATCAGGCGAAAATTTGTGTGCGCTGATGTCATCTATAAAAACTACTTGCTGTGGCCTAAGATATCATGCTTTGTTGACTGTCTCAAATATCCAGTATGTAAGCGGTTGTCAGGTATTTAGTATTGTTGGTTTATGTATCATTTGTCCTTGGACGGTGTAATACGTGAGTGGTAGTATTGATTACATGTGGACAACATTACCACTTGGCACCGAGTAGTACACTTGACTGTGTACATATAGAATACTACACGGGGTATTCCGTATCAACCGAGGTCCCGGCCTGACCGCGATGTGGAATACACCTACTTTGTAGCCTCCGTAGCAGGCTTATAGAACTGGGAGTTTGGTGGTCTTCGGCTGTTTTCTGATTAGCCCAGTTCAAAAACCGGGTGTAATTCAACCAGGCCGGCTATGTTGTCTATATGCAATCAGAAAATAGCACATAAAAAATCCTGAAGACCCCAAAACCCCCAGTTTTTGGCATGCTATGGAGGCTAGAATACACTGTGTTGTATCTAATTTATGTCATACCCACCCAAGAAAATGTGCCATTCAATGCGAAATGAGCCAAAATTTGATGTCCCTAAATCAAAAAATGAACAACATCAATTCTATGGTCTGAATCCTGTATTCAAATTTTCTAAAACGGCGCACACAGTTAGGGCAAAATGTGTTCAAATTATTCTATGGAAGCCATGGAAGCCCGAGCTGTACCGTAAAGTATGGCCTGGTCCGGAACACCGTTATCGAATGTTATTGCAGGCAGGGAATACTGTAGATTTCCAAAGTTTTTCAGTGTTTTGAATTAAGTTCTGGTGTTTCATGCTGTGTTCTGTTTTATAAAGACACTGGGAACTGGATTTTCACAGTGCTGTGAAATTTAGATTTTGCACACTTGAAATGAATTTTCAAGTTCGGTGCAAAAATCAATTGTATTATTGATTCAATGGTTTGCAACCAGTAAAGTGAGAATTATGAAATGTTTAAAAATTGCACCATTTTGACCAGTATCTAGTGCCCAGTATCTAAATGTAGTAAATTACACCTAAGAATATGTTAAACTCCTTTAACCTTTGTGTATCTATCTTTGCTTAAATTCAATGAAGGTCCCTCTGCAATAAAAAGAAATCGGGTCCCCCCCCCCAACCTTTGAATGGAACAGCCTGAATAGCTTTGGCATTCTTTAACTTCAATAAGCTTAAGGTACCCGGGTGGGTAAGATGTTTTTAGCCACTTAAGATGTTTTTAGAAAACCGCACCTGTAATTTTAATAAACAACAACACTCTTCAGTTAGTGTGTCGGTCACTTTGCCTGAGAATACATTTGCGACAAGGCTATGAAAAAACAGAATGGCACGCTATTAGGACACCACTGTAGGGATATAACACTTCTACTTAAGCACCTACAAGGCAAACAACTAAGTTCGACGACCTTTTGAAATCGTAACTAAGAAAGCAAAAACCTCTCCTTACTGTCAAAACAGAATGAATGATGTTTTTATTTCTATTCTGGGGTTTTGGGTTAACCTAGACAATAAAGCAATAAAAACAGTGACGGGGGGCGCCACAGACTTTCTGCAACCTATGATCCACTGCTCATGGAGTCGTGTGTTATCTGCGTGACGTCACGCAAGCGGTGAATTGCTCATTCCTTGACAACATGAGGCAAGACTACAAGCCAGTCTTGCATATGTAACATTAGTATGTCAAGACTGTGGTATTTGGTAAATATTGATTTGCTTCATGTTGCTCCAGTTTCCTATGGTGCAGAATGATGTCATGTCTGATGCAGAGTGTCTTGTGGTTTCAAACCCACACAACTTAGTCAGTCCTGTAACAATATAGACGGGCGAGGGAGAAATTCCTCTGAGTCTGGGAGTCCTATAACAAAACAAGTTGTAATTCTAGTGACGACTGCAAGAATGAGTCATGTTTTAAGCCAGTTTATACAGAAAGTAAGGAACACAGTGTTTTTACGTAGCCAGTAAAATTTGGTTCTTGGTTTTTCTTTTAATCATTATAATGATAATTTTGGCATACTAATTTTCACATGAGCAAAGTGAGGAAAGTCGTGTGAATTGCCCAAGGGCACAAGGTTGGTAACATGGCAGGATTCGAACCCATGACCTCTTGGTTCTGAGCCGAATGCTCTGCCGTTACGCCACAGGACCCCACATTTGTGGTGGTAGTGTGTTTACCGTAAGAAAATATCCCTACGTTGTTCAAGAAAGGTTGCTAAGTATTCTGATTTTTTCCTTCTTTTTCTTCAGCCAAAATAAAAGATTGAATGTTTATAGTGTGTGACTCCCTTACTTTACTGAATGAATGAATCAGTCCTTAGTATCCAGAGAGAATTTTATTTACTCATAGAATTAAATAAAGTTTTTAAATACTGTAATTCCTGATTTTTTCACGGTACTGTTCACTGTTTTCACTGTCACTTCTGTACCGTGAACTTATCATTACAGTTAACAAATAATTCTTGACTTTCTTTTTCCTGCACCTGTCACCACCGTGAATATATAGTTCCGTGAACATGTCCAATTTTCTCAGACCGTGAAATTTTGCTTGGAATCAAGAACAAGAACCGTGAACATAAAGTGAATTACAGTACTTGAATAAAGTTTTTTTTCAATGATCCTTTAGGTTCCCACACAGGACATGGTCAAAGGGTTGCCATCTTATATTTTGTACACACAAGTTTCTGTACCCTTCAGTCACCATAGCACACACCCACGCTGCACTCGCTCGTCTGTTTAGTATGTGTGAAAAGGGTGTTCCCCTCTTTGTGTACAGTAAAAAAAAAGAGTGTTGAGCGCACGCCATGACCACTTGTGTTAAAAATAGCATCAGGAAACCAGGGTGTGACCCCTTCCCCTTTTAAATACCACACTTTCCCATGCATGGCTCATTGCTTCTGTTTCTGTGGTCGGAAACGGTTCTCCCAGGCCTTGCTGCTTTCCCTTTTACATTTCCCTCAGATTAGGAAAGATTTCTCCCGTTTTCAGTCATCGCAACAAAAATTCTTCAAGGTAAACATTAATTCTTAAATTGACTACAGACGAAAGTGTAGATTTTTTAAATCAAGACCTTTACTCTGAAGGATAATGGTGACTACAAGTAGTATGCAGATGGTGGTTCCAATCACCAACAGCTAGCTGGGATTCGAACCCCTGACCACCTGGTTCCTAGACAGTGGTATGCTATGAAGAGCCCAGGCCTTACATGTACATTGGTTGGCCCCGTAAAAGACAGTTACCGATGATATATTTATGTCAGGTATAAGACTGAGAAATTTGTCTGCTGGTGTACTTAAAACTTTTTTTTTTCTTCTCTACAGCCTCAAGACATAGAGTCTCAGAGTCACACCTTCAAACTTAAGACATTCAACAAAAGACCCAAGAGTTGCAGTCTGTGTAAACAAGTCATCTGGAACGAAGGGCTTTCCTGCAGAGGTGAGACTAGATTTATTATTTCAAACTGAGGATTTATTATGTTTACCTTGAAATAAAGTATGACAAAGGAGAGGAATTTTACACGAAAATTATTATAATTTGAATTTAGAAAACCATAAATTTAACTAGATTATGCTAATTATGACCTTATTTCCATAGTCAATGAGAAAAAAAAAACATTTAGAAAACTCATATATTTCATGGAGGTATGAAATCTCCGAATTCTCGTTACCTTTGCAGAGGTAAACGTATTGCTTTTGCTAAGTTTCCTCTTCTTCCTCTTCTTCTTCTCCAAACATGTAAAAAACATTATCTTCACAACTACAGGTGGGGAACACTTGAAATTTGGCATGATGGTAGTTCGGTACCTAAGACACTGAACCATGTTGAACTTCATTTTGTCCCTAATAGACATTTAAAAATGGTTTTACTGGCGAAAATTTGGCGAAAAAAGCTGTGTTTTAATCCTAAAATAGAACTTTAGAAACTGTATAGAATTTCAGAACTACGTTCGAAACCCGAATTGAGTTTGACTACCATGTTCATTTTGAGAAACAACTTTAGAAACTGTATAGAATTTCAGAGCTACATTTGAAACCCGAATTGAGTTTGACTACCATGTCCCATATAGGTATTTATATGATTTTATTGGTGAAAATTGGGTGACAAAAAGCTGCGTTTTAAGCCCAAAATCAAAGTTAAGAAACTGTATAGAATTTTAGAACTACGTTCGAAATCTGAATTGAGTTTGACAACCACAGGTCACAGAACCCAACCTGCGGATGGAGGGTAGTTCAAATTTTATTGATATTTCGTTTCCTGTAAATGAGATGGTTGACAGTGACGGATACGAAATGACTCTTTCGTGATGACATAATCAGGTATCTTGTCAGGTATCTTGTCAGAAAACTTGTCAGAGGGAATGAAGGATGACTGTCTCTAGCCAGACTCCAATGGATTCTTGGAGCCTGTTGCAAATTGCAATTCTATGGCCGGCTAACTCGGCTAATGAAGGATCACTGTAAAGTCCTTACGTATTCATTAATAAAATTGATTATGTTGAATTGTGTAGTAAGCCAATCTTATAGTAGTAGTCAAAGATTTTGCAATTTTTGAGTATAGAAAATGAATGTGATACATGTATACAAAATTACTTCTACTTTTAGTTTTGCTTTCTGTTAAATTGAAACTTCCCCCATATTACTATAATGATGAAAATACAGTCATATTTTGCAATGACTCAGCATCAAATCAATTATGATCAAGGCTAAGCCTTAGATTCCTACACTAATTTTTCAGAGATAACTTTCCCTATGCAAATGTTTTCATGGAAACTGATATAGCGTTACCCCATACAAATCTGGGGCTAAAGAATGAATGAAAGAACATAATGGGCACTTAGGCCAGAAAGAATGGAATTTGTCCAACATTAGGCATTCATATCTTTCACCAGACACTGTCTAAACTTTTGCCCTGCCCTGTCTGCAGGTGGTAGACACATTTCAAACAGGAAATGCAGGGAATTATGGGACAAATCATGCAGGAAATTCTTGATTTCCTGCCCTGTCAGACAGCCTGTGATTTATGACCTTGAAATAATTCCTCATATCATACTTTTACAAGTTTTAATACATTTAATCTCTTCACCATCATCATATATCATCATTTAATCTCTTAGATAAATATTAGTAATTTATTTAACTGTTTTTAAAGGCTCTTACTAACTGAGTGTTGTAGGTTTTAAAAAGATGACAGAAAAGTAGAGTAGTTGGTTGTTTTGGTAAGAAAGTGGGTCAGACGTGCCCTTGAGGCAAAAATACCTTTTCACGCCTTGTAGAAATAGTCATTATCACTTATCAGTGTGTAATTTATGTGTCTGAAGAGGGTGACACACACTTGTAATGCACCACACCAACTTTCTGTAGGTACTCTAACATTCAGAAAACAAACTATTACAAAGTGACAAGGATTTAAAAGAGATGGACTAAGACTTTCTTTGTTAAAACATCATTAATACAGAAGGACATCTAAACATCAGTAAATCTTTCCAGGTCTTTGCTTCAGCACATTGGACAAGTAGAAGGATTGTGGAAAGGTGATGAAGTCTTTAAAGTACTTAAAGTTAATTCAGATAAACAAGAATGACAATTGATAAGATTGTGACTTGCCAACTGTGCTAGAAATATAATTATATATACAATACCCTCTATAATAGGTTGTCTTCAGGCTAATCTTAAACACACCACACTCAAGTATGGTAAACTAAACCAACAGTCATTCAAAGGCTTGATGCCTACAACACACATAGTGCTATGTACCAAAACCCACATTTAGGTTCAGGTCTGGATTCAAGTCCAGAGGTTTAGGTTCAGTTCCGGACTCGTAAGTCTGGACCTAAACCCATGGCATTATACAAAATTGCATGTTGTAAACCTTGCAATCTTGTCTCAGTGAAACTTTGGCCACGTAACATGGAGGCTGATACTTGACAATGCCTAATGACAATGTTTTCTTGCAATCTATGGAAGGTTTTAGGTGGCTTGGAAAGAACAGGGTGTACATGTGTGACATGTTTTTTTTTGTAATAAGTCCGGAATAGGTTCTTGACTTTTAGTTTTTTTTTGGACTTGAACCTAAACACTTTTTCAAGTCTGAAACCGGTCCAGCGAACCGGTACACAGCACTAAACACACAGTATACTAGTTAGGCTTTTTTTGGTCAATTGACAGCTCAACAAGATAGATAGTAAATGGTAAAACAAACAATCAGTTCTAAAGGTGCAATCACAGTTTTGGACTGAACTGTCCTTGGTGCTAGATGAATATCCATTGGTTATCCACTGGCATTCATGATCAAGCATCTTTGAAAGTGTTAGTACAGTATTTCTTAGCATGTCGTAATGGATTGTACAGTTAGGCAATCTGGCTCTTGTTCAATAAATTTCTAAATGTACTCTAGCTTGTTTTGCAATATTTGCTATAGTCTGAAAAATTGTACATGTATTATTTGTTTGTTTTGCATTACCGGTAAACCGCCTTTTAGGCGTAACACACCAGTTTTGTACATGTACAAGCTGCGTAAGACCGGACTGTAAGGTTTGAACCACTCACACCGGGAAGGTCCTCTACTCTTTTCGATAAGTGCAGTGGGTTCTTTAACATGCGTGGGGTGTGGCTCTCCCCAAATACAGGACCTCCATTTAACGTCCTGTCCGAGGGACGTCCCTAACCAAAGCTAGGTACTCATTTTCAAGTGAAGTGAGGAAAGTTGTGTAAAATGCCTTTCCCAAGGGCACAAGATCGGTGACATGGGCAGGATTTGAACCCGCGACCTCTTGGGTGTGAGCCGAACGCGCTACCAACTGCGCCACACGACCCCACATTATTATAATATACAGATATTAAATGTTATAGAGCTGCCATACCATCAATGTTATCATCATAGATTATCAAAATACCCTTCTGTTTTTATTATGTTCTGAAATAACAAATTAAGTTAGAAATGCAATACGTTGTTATTGTAACGTCCCAGCCCTACATTTTACATGGGGGTAATCAATTAACTAAGACAGTTCCTATGGAGACAGGTTTAATTAATCCCTCCAGATTAACGATTTATCTCATAAGACATCTTGTATTAAGACAGTAATTCATCAGGTATGACTTGGAAGGTGACCCAGGGCTGGAAATGCTGGATGCATGTGCACCTTAGTGCACCCAAAATTGGAGCTGTGCACCCAATTTTTTTCAGTGGGTGCACTGGTGCACCCAAATATTTTGTAGGTATTTTTTTTTACATATCAAATGAATATAGTATACAGAATATTCTTGGCATCTAAGTGTCAGAAAAATAATAAAATCTTTCTTGTAGTACTTGAGTAAGATTTTGAAGTTATCTCCCATTTCAGATTCAAGCTCAGAAGAGAAGCAGTAAGATCTCTAATTATGTTTTGTTTTATATGGTGCACCTGATTTTTTAGGTTAGGTGCACCAGTGCAACTATTCCCAAAATGAATTTCGAGCCCTGTGACCAGTATGTTATGTTTGTAATCTTCAAACTTTTAACTTTTGTAAAAGGATAAAAACACATAAATATTTTATAAGCTTGGATAGTCTGTATGACAGTATGGCTAATGTTTCTTGTGTTCTAGTTTTAGGAGAAGAGACACTGTCAGTAAGGCAAATTTTTGTACATTAGGAAGAAGACTATTGGCCAACCAATGAGCAACTCAAGTCATTAAGGCCTAGGGAAAAAAATTGTGTTTCCTGTTTCCTGACCAACCCTAGAAAAAACTGCTGACCCTAGGCTTTTTTTGGGGTGGACCCCTGCAATTGACATAAATATTTTGAGCTGATTGATCTGTTCTACTTCCATGATCTAATACCTGAGTGATGAAACTTTGTACAAGCGGTTTTCCAACATTGACATTAAAAATATATATGACATCTTGCAAGTTGGATCACTAGAGATTGCCAAAGTCTAATAAAAAAAAAAGAAATAAAGAAAGATAATCCCTACCTACCAACCTTAATTTTTTCAGGACTGAAACAGGAAACTTAAAATTTCTTTCCTTGGCTTAAGATCAATGAAAGATCACTGTAAGACATTTGAGACATCTGTCAATTTTTTTTTATGTTTAGTGGTCCTTCAATGTGTAAAATTCCTGAAAATGCTAGTGTTATGTTGTCAGTATTGGTATGAAGACTCAGTATTAGAAATACCCATCTGCAGTGTGCATTTTGCAGTGACATTTTCAATATAGCAGAAGAAAAATGAAGCAACCTGCAATTTTGCAGACTGAAAAAAAGGCTCAGGCTTCAATGGTTTAGGCATGATATTGTTCAAGAGCTTTTGTATTCACTATATTCCATGTAAAATGTTTGCCACCTTTCAAGTTTGTATATGCCATAAGTTTAGGTCCAGACTTGCAAGTGTGTTTTTGCAGAAAGTATTTGTGAATTGCAGAATAAAATGTTGACATTTTGTAATATTACAAAACACTAAAGAAAGTTATTTCTAACACTGAGACTTTCCCACTGCACAACTCCCCCCCCCCCTTGCCATTCTTTAGCACAATTAATAACTGTCCTGTTCTAACAACGCAGGCCGTCACAGTCTGACCTCAGGCATGTTTGGCAGCACTGCTGGATGTGATCTGATTGGATAAGTAGCCAATATAAATGTAGCCTTTGACGGCCCAGCTCTGCAGCGTTAATAATACATGAGACGAGTATCTGTGCACCTTTGTCTGGCACTGATTGTTTTTCTCTTCTTCTTTCCCTTCCAGTCTGCAAATATGCCTGCCATCGGAAGTGTGAGCCCAGGGTAAGTTGACGTTCCTTTAATTCGATTAACGTATCGTTCAAGCTTGCATAAGCTAGGAAATGCTATTGTTACCTCCATGAAAAATGGAGGTATTGTTTTTGGCGTGTCTGTGTGTGTGTGTGTATGTCTGTGTGTGTTTCCGCAACTTTGTGGTCAGCATATCTTCAGAACGCCTTTATGGATTGTGATGATGTTTGGTATGTTGGCAAGTCTAAGAAAGACAAAGGTCAAGGTCAAATATGGGCCTCCTGGTGGCTGACCTTGGTACTGCAGCAGAACTTCCGGTTTTTGTATTTTTTGTCCTGAACATGTTATGTTTCTTGAGTTTTTGGTGACAGATAGCTTTTTCTGTCAGGAATAAGTGGTGTGGGTTTGGTCCCCCTAGCGGCTTGTTGTTGCCATAGAGTGAGGTCGATTAAGGATCATTTTTGTACTGTAATTCTTCAGCAAGGTTGCAAATATGTAGTTCAATGGTAAATAAAACTAGCTCCACAAAACTGCAATTAAAAAAAATGTTCAATAAGAAAACTGTCACTGATGTTTGGAAACAGGGTAGACATATGTAGTATGAATAAGATATACTTGATCATTCAAGCATGATTTACTTATTTCATAATTAGAAACAAAGAAAAAGCAAAGACTTTTTTGTATATATTTGAATGGTACAGCTTGATTGATCTGTAGTATCTGCTTGCCTTTACTAGAAGAGCCACCTAGAGGTTGGGGGTAGAAGTGCAAGCATAAGTTCTATCCACCAATGGATCAATATTTTCTGTGGTTGTAGTGGAATTTTGATAACAGCTTTATTGAGATTTCTAGCAATAGGTTATTAGATTCAAGACTTTAAATAAATTTTTGGATTTGATTCAGAACCTGATTTTTTTTCAAATCAGAAAAGAATCCAGAACAATTGTTTAAAGGCATCCAATGCGATTTCAGGGCAGCAAAATTGGAAATATTCTGAATAATACAATCTTTGTGATATTGACACATACTGCTTCACATTAGCACATTTTAATCAGTATTTCATACTTTGGGCTATTAAAACTGTGGAAACAAGTCCAAAGATGAGTCCTTTGATTTCTGGGTGGCACCCTAAAAATCAGCCCAGGGCCCTTCCAGTAACCATTTTCTGTCAGAATTTTGGGAATTTTTGCTCCATGAGGGTCAATATACATTGGGACAGTGTGGTTTCAACTCAGTATGTAGATAAATGACTAGAGTATTGGTTTGAAAAAATCTGTTTTCCAAGCCCTAAAAACTGCAATGGTATGGCCCAAGAAAGATAATTCCAGTTCAAAATAAGAAATCAATGCTATATCAGCTGGATGTAATTTTACGACGCAGGGCTAGATGTATATTTGGTAGTTTGATGACAGAAGAACATTGCTGGGATGGTACCTCTCTGTCTGTCTGTATTGTTGTACGCTGCATCTCATTGCAAAATCAATAGGTGTAATTCTTCCAGGTAGTTTACTGGTCTTGTTCTATCTGTGGCTGTGGCTATTGTAAAGCCGTTAATGTCATAGCAATATACGGTATGTTGTGGTATGGGATAGGCTGGACAAGTTGGGTAGTACCAAAAAACTTAAGGCCACAGCAAGTAATTTTTATGGATGACATCAGCGTGCGCATTAATTTTCGCCTAATTTTGGAAAAAAAAAAAGAAATTTTGTTGCCTTCTGCCGAAAATGGGCAAAGATGTCTGTCGCCATGCCGGAAGGTGGATGGCAGATAACTATGAAGAGAGGAGACAAGAAAAGGCTCTGACTTAATGTTATGTTTCTTACTTTGATGCAGTGATATGTGATGCTGGCTGTGTATATGTGATGTTCCCACTGAGTCAAAACCATTTGTACAATGTTTGAGTCAGAATTTGAAAATGTAGGAACCTTTTTTGGCCTGCCTTGTTTTTTTTCGCCCGCATTAGATTTGGAGTCTGCGGAGGATGTCATCCATAAAATTTACTTGCTGTGGCCTAAGTTCTTATAATGCTCTTTGATGAACGTGATTTTGTAAGGAAGGATTTATGTAACATGAAAAATGAAAAATTAAGTTGAGGAATCAAATGGTTTTAGATAATGAAGTGTATTTGACTAAGGATCATAGACAACTTAGGAGCTACCAAGTTACATAAAATTCTGATAATTTCTTGCATCTTCGCAGAATTTTTCCTCTAAATTTCAGGTAAAATTTCTGAAATTTCAGGTAACTGATCAGGGTATTTTAGCCTCGCTAGTCAATTCTTTTCCTCATAAGTTTGTAATAAGAAGGAATGGTTTAGTTTCTGGAGATAAGCATTTGGTATGGGATGGTTGGTTCTTGCTTCCATTTTATGCCCTCGTCACCCTTAACACACATCCCAGGGCTCCGTGAATTTAATTGCTTCCAATTTGATTTCCCCATTTATCACTTAGTTGGACTCTTCCGTCGGAGGGAAGTGCAGCATTATTATGTGGAGGAATCAATAATAATCTCATTCCGCTGATGGACCTTTGGTCCTGCTATGACACCAACATACGTCTTCTCAAAAGTCATCCCAGGATGTCAGTTAGCTCTCAGCCTGTGGTCCATCTGTAAATGCTATACCTGCTCTGTCCTACATGAACTAAGCCTTCAGAGGTAGAATAGAGTAGGTATGACTTTTATAGATAAAACCTAGGGTAAATAGTGGATCCTGGTGCAATAGCTCAATCAGTAGAGTGCGCGCTTTGTAACCAGGAGGTCGTGAGTTCAAACCCTGGCCGGGTCATACCAAAGTCTTTAAAAACGGTACATACGTACTGCTTTCTCGGTTTAGCACTCAGCATCTGCGAGAAAGAGTGTGGGAAGGTCAAACACACAACACTACCAGCGGACTAGCCCCCTGCTGTAGTGCCTTGCACAACTGTGTGTCGCCCAAGGGCTACAGGAATGGAGATGGGCACCACCCCCATGCTCTGCAAAGAGTAGAATGGGACTTTTAAGGTAGTGGATGCCAACTCTAGGATGGGGCACGTGTCTCCATTTTCAGAATCGTAACTTTTAAAACAATTCTCAATTCAAGGATAAAGTTATTAGATTCAAGAAGAAAAAGTTCTGATCTACATACAAAATGTTAATCCCAGCAATTGGGCTATTTCAGATAATAAAGAAGAAGTCAATCATGATCACATAGGATTAATTAGGTTATGCTTAGGCCACACCAATTTAATTTCTTGGTTAACGGATTTTTCTAGAAAAATAATGGAGCGGGCGGGCGAAAAAAAAAAACAGGCCTAGGCATCGTATTATGGCCCAAAATGGTACGATAGGAGCCATGAAGTCAACACACCAGGCTGGTTCAAAATTTAAACAATGAATTTTGAACTTTTAATAAAAAACCATTGCATTGAAAGATGGAATAACTGCAACAACTAGTAGGATGGAAAGGTCTGTTTTCAACTATTCAGGGCAAAATATGAGCATTTTGCAGTTGATTCTGGATTTTTATTTTTATTTGCAAATCAGAAAAAAATGAAGCGGCGAATCCGTTAACCAAGAAATTAAATTGGTGTGGCCTTAAATGGAATAGAAATGATACTCCTGGATCTCGAGTTGTTTGTTTTTGTATACTAATGAAGTGATTTAGTTACTTATTATCAATTGGAAACATCTCTAAGCAAATAAACATACCTGCAGCAGACAAGACACTGCACAGCAGGAAGATGATAAGGTTGATTATTTTGTAAGTAGATAATTATTAAGTCTGGTCATCCTATAGTGGCCAACTCACAGGTACAAGGCCTAGGAAAAAAAATGTTGTGTTTCCTGTTTCCCAACCGACCGTAGAAAAACCTGCCGACCCTGGACTTTTTTTGGGGTGGACCCCTGCAAGGAACATGAATTTTTCGAGCTGATCAACCTTTTCTAGCTCCATGATCTGACACCTGAGTGATAAAACATTGTATAATTGGTTTTGTAACATTGACATTGAAAATAAAAGTGTCCTCATGTATGTTTTACTTTGTTAAACTGTATTGTATAAGTTAGACCCATCTTTAGATATCACTGAAGTCTAAGAAAAAGATAATCCCTACCTACCGGCCCTAATATTTTCAGGACTGAAACAGGAAACACAACATTTTTTTTCCTAGGCCCAATGTACCAGTAGGACTTGGAAACAGTCTGGCATCCCCACAGGCTATATTTTGGCTAACATGCTGTCTAAAAAGTGTGGCTTCAAGACAAAATGCATCTTTTTTTGTGGCTTTGTCCATGTTTGGATGATCATATGTGAAGTAAAGTGAAAATTCTTGGACCAGATTTTGCCTCTATGAGTATGAAAAAAGATTGTATTGAAGAAATGTAGAATATTATTGCAGCCACAGTTTATTGAAGAAAAATTGTCTCAATACAATTAATACTAATAGATTAATTATGATGATGGATAGTGATATTGAGTAAGTGATTATGATGATATTTCTTGTTGTTATCAGGTTTGATAGCTTTATCCAAAGCGTTTGACTTGTTTTCAGTCAATGGCTCTTCCAAAGAGACATAGGGTCCTTTCTATTGATCAGTGAACAGTCCCCTTCCCAAGCTGTCAGCACCATACAAGTATGAAATGGTCAGTCCCCCCACCTCTGCGTTTCTCTTCCAGCTGATCCCCTGACTGCCCATATTTGGGGTTGGGCTGATATTTTCAGGTCATTTGCATGAAAAGGAGGGCAGTGACACATGTGGTCCATTTGTGGTGAAACTGTGGCTTCTACCAAAACACCCCACAACGGCCCACAGATGTAACCCATTGGTCTTTGCTGTCAGTGGCATTTTGGATTGCTTCCCAGGGTTTTTCTGGTGCTCTGGAATTCCGTCTTCTTCTGTTTTTGGTGCGAGGATTTGGAGTGGCAGGCTTTCGGTCCCACTTTACGAGAAAGAGGGGTGATCTTGGAAGGAAAATGTTGAAAAGGTGAGAAGTCCAAGCTTGTTTTGGATGAAAAAAAAATCAGTTGTGGAATTTTTCACTTTTCATAAATATA